CAGCAGGGGACCCTCCAAAGGAGCTTCTTCCGGGGCCTCTGCAGGGTCAGGGGGGTCCCCCACCTGGGGGCCCGAAGGGTACAGATGAGCAGCAACTGTCTCTTGGGGGCCCCCAGAACCGCTGGGCAGAGGACTCCGGGGCCCCCTGTCTTCCCGCTGTACTCTGGGGGCCCTGAAGGCCCCCGTCCAGCACAGCAGCTGCTGTCGAAAGCTCAGTCTGCGCGTGCCAGTGCCCTCAGAGTCAGGCAGAGGGGCCCCCAACCCTGCTGAAGGGCTTTTGGGGGGCCCCCGGGCCCCCAGCCGCTGCTGCGCCTCCAGAAGTGCAGCAGCAAATGCTTCCCGGCCCTGCAGCCTCGCCCCACAGGGTTTGGGGCGCCTAGAGCCTGGAGGCTCCCCATCGCAAGTCACCCTGGGGCCCCCGCTGGGGCTTGAAGACCCTTCCTGTGCCCAACAGGGGCCCCTGAGGGCCCCCTCTTGAAGGCCCCTGGGGGCCCCGTCCTCTGCGCTTTCAGGGGCCCCACAGGGTCCTTGCTCCTCTTCGGCAAATAGGCGCTGCGCCCTCAGACACCCGGGGCCCTCCTGAGCTCCGGAGGGGCCCTCAAAGCTGCTGTGGGGAATGTCTGGCTCAAGGGGCCCCGGGGGCCCCCTTGAGTCTGGCTCCTGGGGCCCCGGGGGCCCCTGAAGAGGGCCCAAGGGAGAGAGGATCTCTTGAGAAGCCCGGGGCAGGACCTTGGCCTGCAGCCTGGCCTCAGAGATGGGGGGCCCCCCTACGGGCTCAGCGCGGGGGGCCCCCCTATAAGGCTCCCTCCTTCCTGCTGCCATCAAAGCAGAAGCTGAGGTCAGGGGCCCCCGGCAGCGAGCCTGGAGGCGGTAAAGAGAGAGAAGGGGCCCCCCCACTTGCTGCTGCTTCGGGGGCCTTACCCCTGCAGTCCGCAGGCGCTGCAGCGTCGCCCTCAGCTCCTGGAGCAGGCCGCTGCAACGGGGAGGCCCGGGGGGCCCCCAGAGGTCAGGGGGCCCCCAGAGGTCAGGGTGCCCTCGGGGGCCCCTGGGGGCCACGGGGGCCCTCGGGGGCTCCCAGGCTGCTGAGGAAGCAGGCGAAGGCGAAAATGAAACTGGAGAGGGTACTGTGCTGTTGGGGGCTGAGGAATCTGAGAATTGAGAAGAGACAGCCTTTACAGAGCCTCTGCTGCTGCTGCTGGAGCGGCCGCTGCTGCACTTGTCGCTGGGGCTGCTGCTGCT